CGTAGGGGTAAAACGGTTTAAGGAACTCACGTACGTGCGCCATGAAACAGCCTTTGCCTCTTTTGAAACGCGACGGGCAAGAGCCCGCGCTTTCTTAAAAGCGATGAGGTTCTCAGTAGTACTGCTCCGGTCAAACTTTCTAAAAGCGCGCTTCCTGGCACGAATCGCATCTCCGCATTCCTTGGTCCACCACGGGACCGGAGGACGACGAGGCTGACTCGACGTCTTGGGTATGCACCCGTTTGCGGAGTCAATGAGTAAACATGTAAAATCCTCTGTAGACATCACAGAGGCGTCGGCTCTGGATAAAACCGTGGCCTCTACGGCGGCCTGGAATTCGCCCCAGTCGGCCTTCCGAACATTCCACCTGGGTGGACGGTTGCCTGACACTGGGGACTCCTGGTGCTCCAGCCACACTGGGAAGTGGTCGCTCCCGAGTGGGTCGTCATGGACGGACCAGGTAAAAAGCTGAGCTAGCCGCGGACTGACTAAGCTCAGGTCCAGAGCCGATGTCTGACCGGAGGGTGTTGTAAAATGGGTGCGCTGTCCTGTATTTAAAATACACAGCGCCTCATCGCGGATAAAAGATTCTAAAAGTCGACCACGAGTGCCAGTCGTGTCGCATCCCCACGCCAGGCTATGGGCATTAAAATCGCCGACTACCAGGACCGGAGGTGGAAGCTCATCGACAAGTCGATGCAGCTAAACCACCGGGAGCGCTATACCTGGTGGTAGGTATAAAGAGCACACTGTCAGTTCCCGGTGGTTGAAATCAACTCTGGCGGCCACCGCCTGCAGGGGAGTCTGCAGCGGCACCTGGCGAGCAGGTACGCTGTGGTGAACCGCCAGAAGCACACCTCCATGGGCAATGGTAGGGGTGTCCAGGTCTCTTCTAAAAACAGAGTAGCCCTTGATGGCAAAGGTAACGTTTGGCGCTAGCTTGGTCTCCTGGAGACCTAAAACAAGGGGTGTGCGCCAACGGATAAGAGACTGTAGGTCCTGGTAGTTGGCCCGGAGGCCTCTACAGTTCCACTGTAGAATAAAAGGCGTGGTTAAAAAGGCGCAAAAAGGGCGCGTATAACATGAGGCAAAGGCGCACACAGATACCTGACTGACCACAAAAAAGGTAAAAAGCACCGAGAGAAATGCACCTGGTAAAAAAGCGCAATAGCGCGAAAAAGATAAAAGGATAAAAGAGGAAATGACTAGACTGAAAGACTAGACTAGGTCCTCTAACTCCGAGGAGGCGCTCCCCCCGTAACGGATACGGGGATGCCCCGAGCCCTCTCGGTGTAGCCTCCCTTCAGCAGAGGCAGATCGGGCGTGGCTCGAGCCCTGCTGGGGCTTTTTCGCCCGGGGGGCGTCACCCTCCGAGGGTGACCAGCTCGGGGGCGTCTGCCGCTTGGCGAGGCGCCCTGGAGCCGCGGAGGTCTGTTGCCGCCCCGACGGGGATGTCGAGGCGGCGGCCTGTGTCCTCGACACAGGCGTCTCTGGCAGCGGCGGTGGTGGCCGCCGCTGCGGAGGTGGAGGAGGCGGCGGGGGACCCATGATGGGCCGAGTCCCCGCCTCAGGTGTCTCCGGGGTGTCAGCGGCAACAGCCGCTTTGGCACTCCCGGAGGCGGAGTCGGCAGACGAGGCTTCCTTAGCCTCGAGGGCCTTCTGGACGAGGCGAGCCCTCCTCGCCTCTCGTGCCCTCCTCTCCTCCTCCCCCCGCCGCAGCGCCTCCTGCACCGCCGTGGGCGGTCGGGGGCGGGGCGGGGTGGGTGGCGCCTTACCCTGCGCCGGGGGACGCCGACCACCCTGTCGGCGCTGGACGACGGCCCAGCCGTCTCCATCACCGTTCGCGGCTGGAGCGGGACTGGGTGGACCCCACACTGACTCCTGAGCAGCCTGCTCTGTGTTGCTCGGCGGCGCATGAGGCGCCGTGGTGTCCGCTGAGTCACCAGTGGCTACGACGGTGAGGCCGAATCGTTTGAGAAGCTGCACGAGCTGTGCCACACTCATCTGGGAGGCATCGGTAGAGTTTGTGACTCTCACCTTCTGGGCATACGAGGTCTTCGGGTGACTCTGGTTGTACACCTCCCGGGCCTCTTTGAAAGACAAATTTCTGGTAGCCTTGATGGTCATGATCTCTTTCTCCTTGACGTATGCAGGGCAAGACCTATCATACGCGGAGTGCAGCGTCTGCCCCTCTCCGCAGTTGACGCATCGGGGGGTCTCCGAGTCACAGGTTTCGTCAGTGTGGTCCTGCGAAGCACACTTGGAGCACGTGGGTCTTCCTCGGCAGTTGTCCTTTGTGTGGCCGAAACGTTGGCAGCGGAAGCAGCGCATGGGCGCTGGGACGAAAGGCCGCACGCGAACCTTCACGTAGCCCACGCGAATCTCACTCGGCAAGTCGATGGAGTCAAACGTCAGAATTATGTTGTTGGTCGAGACCGTGCCTCTCTTCGTCATGATGCGGCGAGCCGCTGTCACGCCGAAATCAGCGAGCCCGTCCGCAATGTCCTCGTCGCTCACTCCCCTCAGATCGAAACAGTTAATGACCCCTCGTGAGGAGTTCTTAGATCGGTGAGGTTCCACTGTAAGCGGGATGGAGACGAGCTTCCGGCCGGATGCCCGTCCCTCGGAGAACACGAAGCGAGTAGCGTCCAACGCTTTCGCCGCCTCCTCGCTTTTCCTGAACTCGACCTCCAGCGCGCCATCACGCATCCGGTCACAACGAACGATCGAACCAAACCGGTCACAGCCATCCTTCCGCTGGAAGGGCGACAGAGAGCTCAGCTCCCTGTCTGCGCTCCGGAAGATAAGGATCTTAGGAGATCGTGGACCTTTGTCGAGCACCGTTCGCCTGTCGGCCGAGGCCAACGGGCGAGGATCGGCCGAGGCCGAGGGATTGGACTGGGGGGAAGGGGGATCGGTCAAGTTATCCATGTGAAAGAGTTGGTCTCCGCCAGCTCGGCCGCCGACGCTCCGCAACGGCGCCGCTACAAGGCCTGGGACGGCCGAGCTGACTGTACGGGACTTGGCGGCACCTTCCGAGGGGGAGAGAGAGGCTCACTACCCCCCACGGTCGGATACCGCCTCCTCCCTTGACGCCTAGCCGAGTCACCGCCAGGGGCAGCGACAGATCAGCCCCACCGACGGAGGACGAGCACAAGTGCCCGAACCCCGCCGGCGACACCTCTCCGACACCACCCCCGGCGGCATCACGACTGGGAATGGCTCCTCAAGTGCGGCGCCCCACTGAGTGTCCCGCCCTTACAGAACTCAGGGCCAAAGAGGCGTGTTGCCCAGCCACCGCGACTGGCTCCGCACGGTGGGGGGCTCAACCTCCAGGATCCCGTTGTCCTGGGGTACGGGTCGGCTCGCCTAGCCTAGTAAAACCGGCTGGTACCCGAGGGGACGCCACTCCCCTTACACTAGCCCAACTCGGCTGTGTTCCTGCGGGTGCAAAAACAACGAAAAAGGGGTAGGAAAGGAATCAGAAGGCTGTGATCGAACGAAACGCGGACATCCGGTGAGAAGCAAAGCAAAAGCAAACAAAGACCGCTCAAGAAAAACAAAACCACGAAAACCAAGAAAAGTCGGGCCGTACCATCTGTCCATCCAGCGATCAAAGCAAGTCGTAAGCAAGCACAGGTCAAGCTGGGGCCGAGGGGGCGCTACTCCCCTTGCTGGCCGAGGCCAGGGCCGCCGCGGGGCGAGGGCCCAAGGAACCCAGACCAACAGCGACCCGGGCCACTGCCAACCCCCTGCGGGGCCAATCCTGCAGACAATCCATCCAGTAAGCAAGGCAAGTCCAGGTCAAACGCGCGTCAAGCTGGGGCCGAGGGGGCGCTACTCCCCTTACTGGCCGAAGTCACAGCCGCCGCACAGCCGGAGCCAGATGACCCCGGCTAAGCAGCAGCTCCGACCACGGTCAGCCCCCAGCGGGGTCTTGGGGGCACCTTTGTCTCTCGGCTGCTTAAAGAGAGGCAAAATATTCAGTGGTGTGCTTGAAATGTTGTAAGTTCATGGACAATTTGCTGTTTTTAGGGTATTAACATGGACGGCTGGGATTGCATGGACGTCTCGCTGTCCATGAATTCCTAATACGATTTTCAGGCATTATCATGGACGGTGAAGCTCAAGCGACATACCCTTCATCCGAAATCCATGGACGGGCCCTTTCGTCCTTGTGAATACCCCTACGCAGAATGCTATCCTAGAATAGTGTGTTTTTCCACCACCACGTGGCGATAGCATCGCCCTTTAAGAGCGACATTTTGATTGGTGGGCTTTTTTTTAGGTCTGTTCTGATTGGTCGTCCATGAAATACAGTCAGTACTTATTCGTCGTCAGCTGTTGCTAGGCCGAGGCCGCTTGGTTAGCAACGGTTGCGACGCCGAGAACTTTCTGTTTGGCGCCATTGCTGGCAAGATTGCTGGTAGCGTCGTGTGGTCTTTTTTTTGCGATTAGAAGATAGTTTAGCAATGCCTGGAAAGAGAAAGGTAAGCTTTCAGCGATACATTGTCTGTATGATTGTCCTTTGCATTATTTCACTTTTTCAGAAGCTCAAGAGCATGGCATTGCAACAGCGCTAGGTGTAGGTTGAGGTGTAGGCACGAAGTATGTTAAGCTTGTTATCCTGATTTGAGGCTTTTTCCAAGAATAGAGAGGCTTTATCATTATCAATATATTGACATGGTTGACATTGTATTCAATATTTACTAAGAGTTGTCAAGTTGGGCTACCCTCTACAGACAGCGAGGAGGACAACGACAGCATCCCCTGCGGCCAGAGCTGCCCACCAACAGATGGAGGCGATCAACGAGACGGAGAGCAGCGACGACGAGATAATCCCACCGACTCCCCAGCCAGGACCATCCTCCAGGCCGTCCAAGAGGACGAGGCCAACGGAGCATTCGCAACGTTCATCCTCCCGGGCGACCACCGACCTAAGCTCGCAGGAAGCAAGTGGAATGGCTTACTCGCCTTCCACCCGCCAACTAGAAGAAATGATGGCGCTCGACCAGCCGCTGACACCGGGCGAGATGCGCGAGGTGAACCGCATCGAGAAACTCCTGACGGCGGAGGACCGGCAAACCTCGTCCCCCTCCAAGCGGAGGAAGGTCACACCCACTTCACAATCCCAAACCCAGGACCTAACCGCAGACGATCCCTCGTCAACCTCATCAAATTACTCCAGCTCGACGACTCCTACGTCCAAACAGCCACCCTCACATTCCAGATTGTCAGAAATATTGGGAGATGGTTGGCGTATCTCGCCCGCTTCGGCTTACGGTTTACCAGTTTATTTGGTAACTCCAAACCCATCCAGATCCTAAAGCGCATCCTCCAGCATCTGGCGAACCTGCCGCTGATCATCCGCCTGCAAGACCAAGAAGGAGACGCAGTTGACGGAGCCGAACCGCGACCACTCTGGACGGGACACTGCAATCCGAACGACGAGGACGTCTCCACGGCAGGAGCAGAGTCGGCACGCAACCAGCGAACGGAACAGCGCGGTCGAAAGAGGCAGTACGACGAGGCAGCCTACATCCAAGAACTGGTCAGAAAGTACACCGCTACCAGCAGCACTCAGCTCCTCAACAAGATGACAGAGCAGGAGTTCACAACGCTCTACAACCTCACGCCGAACTTCAGAGACCACGTGAAGACCATCATCGCGTTCGAGAACGCACAGAGAATCAAACGACGCCGCGGCATGAAGTTCTGGCAAGTGTTTGAAGAAGAACTCGGCGAGTTCAACATGGATCAGCACACGAGCGAGGCCTACGTGTGGCTGCAAGACCTCTTCGAAGCCAATAACATCGAGATAGCTGAGTTCCTGGCGTGGGCTGAAGTCATCGGCGACCAGAAGCTGCAGAAGACCAACACGCTGCTGCTGCACGGTCCGACGTTTGTTGTTTGTTGATTGAGGCTTTAGGGCGCGCCGACTGCTAAGGTCATTTTGCGCCCATAACATCGTACTAATAAAACAAGTGTGCCACAAGAAAGAACCTTCTAGATACTAAGACTAGAAAGTAAGACTCGATATAAAATAGCAAGGTAAGATAAAACAGCGCAAAGGTGTCGTCCTAGACAACTGACTAGATGAAAGGACTAGAGAGGGCTAGTTGGATTGGGGTCAGGTCGAGTATATCACTTGGAAGTTGATCGAACGGATAAAAGAAAAGATGTTGCCGGATAAAACCCAGGGTGACTCGTCACCCAGTAAGCGGCGGATAGTGGTACCCGGAGCGATGCGCCCGAGGTAGCGTGTCCGGTTCGGTTCAGCGAAAGGACAAGATAAAAGCACGTGAGAGACAGTGAGAGGCACGGTACACCTGCGACAGGTGGGCTGCTCTTCTCCACGGAGGAGATGACCATGCGTGGCATACGTATGGCCGATGCGCAGCCTACATAAGACGACTTCGTTATGTCTGTTACTTTGCATGGATGACGACCAAGGCTCGAGAGTTGGCTTGATATCTCTCAGCTTACTGCTCGCGCGCGAGTCCCACTCTGCCTGCCACTGCGAGAGCATGGAAGATCGTACGACGGGATAGTAATCCCGGGCAGGCAGAGGAAATCGCCGAGTGTAGGGCGCTGCGGCAGCGCGTCTCGCGGCGGCGTCAGCAAGCTCGTTGCCTTGGATTCCAACATGACTGGGAATCCAGCAAAACCGGATAATTTTTCCGGACTGTTCCACCGAAGTTAGCCGAGTTAAAATGTCCTGAATGATCGGGTCGTCAGGATTAAACCGTCGTAAAGCCAACAGACTGCTTAGTGAGTCTGATAAAATCAAATAGAAAAAACCGTCGGACACCTCAATAAAACACAGAGCCTTTTCGATGGCGACTAGCTCTGAGGAAAACACCGAGGCGCTGGGTGGAAGGGAAACCGAGCGGGTGTCCCGACCAGCGACAAAAGAGCAACCCGCTCCCTCGGATGTTTTTGAGCCGTCTGTGTAGACTGAAATAAAACCATCATACGAGGCTATATGCTCCAAGGCTCTGGTTTGTGCTTCATAGGACAGCAGGCTATCCTTTTTTACTTCGGAAAGCGAGAGGTCTACCTGCGGCGGGGCGTTTCTCCAGGGTGGAGAAGGCGTTCCCCAGATACGCCGAACGCCGCGCAAGGCTATATTCGATGTAGAGAATAAACCTCTCATGCGTGCTCCGAATGGATGACTCGTCCCATTACCAGATGAAGCAATGTGACGCGAAAAGACGTACGGGTACGTCGGATGCGTCGGGAATTGACGTAGTTTAAGAGCATAACGCATCCCCAGCGTCTGACGGCGGAGAGAAAGTGGCGGCTCGTGCGCCTCAGCAAGAATGCTGCTCCTGGGCGAGGTGCGGAATGCTCCGGTGGCTATTCGGAGTGCTGCATGATGGACTGTATCCAGGACCTTCTTGCTGGATTCACTCGCTGAATCATAGACAAAGGAAGCGTAATCCAGCTTCGATCGTATAATCGATCGATAGAGAAGAAGAAGGGTCCTGCGGTCCGCACCATAAGATGTGCGGGCGACACATTTTAAAACGTTCAGGGATTTAAAACATCGTTCCCGAAGCGTTCTAAAATGTTCTCTATACGTCAAACGACTGTCAAAAAAGATTCCAAGAAACTTCGCCACCGGCCGAGTAGGAATCACCTGTCCATGGAGCTTGATTCCCAAGGCTAAGTCGTCACAGCGGCGGCGGCAAAAGTGCATAGCGACGGTCTTCGTTGTTGAAAAACGAAGGCCGTTGTCGTCGCTCCACCTCTCCAGACGGGTTACAGCGAGCTGCAACTGTCTGGCAACGTGACGGGCGGTCGTAGCTGAAAACCAGATCGCGAAATCATCGACAAATAGTGATTTGCCGATAGATGGTGCGAGATTGTCGCCAATGTCATTGATCGCCACAGCGAACAGCGCCACACTGAGCACTCCGCCCTGAGGAACTCCGTTCTCCTGAATAAAACTGCTCGAAAGACGGCTGCCAACACGGACTTTGAACTAGAGGTGGCAAAATGTGGACCCGGGGACCCGGTCCAAAGAACCAGTCTGGACCCATATGGGTCCAGACCGGTTCCTGGAAATTTTCTGACGGGTCCAACCGGGTCCTACCATGAACTATGCATCTTGCACACTACACATTATTGCAAAATATGAAGTGAATGAAGTGAATGTTTCTTGGCACACAGTAGCTCTTGAGTATTCCGAGTGGGAAATAGGCTGTTTTACATGATGCAACTAATGATACCTACAAGTAGTTTGAATTAATTGACTTTTGGGGAACGGGTCCAACTGGTTCCGGTTCCAACTAAGACCGGGTCCGACTGGTTCCAGAAATGTCCAGCCGGGTCTGGTTCGAGTCTGGTTCCCAAAATTTTCATCTTTTGCCACCTCTACTTTGAACCGACGACCCGATAAAAAGTTCTTGATAAAGAGACCCATTCGGCCACGTATGCCGTACTTATGTACTTTGGAAAGTATTCTGTGTCGTAACACTGTATCATAGGCCGCCTCAATATCAAAGAACAGTGCTCCAAGGTGCTTCTTTTCAGTAAAACAGGTGCGTATCTCGGTGTCAAGGGCTAAGATGTGGTCCACAGGGCTGCGGTGTTTTCTAAAACCGCACTGGGCGTTTGTAAAAACACCGTGATGTTCCAGAAACCAGCTAAGACGCACATTGACCATCTTCTCCATCAGCTTTGATAGCGATGATGTGAGAGAGATGGGCCGATAATGGAGAGGGTCATGTCCCGACTTGCCAGCCTTCAAGATAGGAATGATAATGGCTTCCCGCCAGGTCTCAGGGAAGGTGCCAGTCTCCCAAAGCGAATTAAAGGTTGCTAGCAGCGCCTCGAGGGCAACTGCGGGGAGATGACGGAGCATGTCGTTGTGGACAGCATCCGGACCTTCTGAGACGCTGCGCAACGAGCTGATGGCAGACGTAAGCTCAACCATGGTGAAAGGCTCATTGTACACGAAATTTTCAGCTGTGCTGAAGTCCACGGCGGCTGGTGCAGGTCGTGAGGACTCTCCTCGGCAGCGCTGATAGAGTGCACGGCCTATCGTCTCTGCGACGTCTGAAGGGTGAGATATGTCCGTGTTGTTCACTCTTAAAACCGGAAGCGGAACAGAGCTGAACCGGCCTTCAATGCGCTTCATGCGTGCCCATATCTGGGTCGTAGGAGTAAAACGGTTTAAGGAACTTACGTAAGTGCGCCATGAAACAGCCTTTGCCTCTTTTAAAACGCGTCGGGCAAAAGCCCGCGCTTTCTTAAAAGCGATGAGGTTCTCAGTGGTGCCACTCCGGTCAAACTTTCTAAAAGCGCGTTTCCTGGCACGAATCGCGTCTCCGCATTCCTTGGTCCACCACGGAACAGGAGGACGACGAGGCTGGCTCGACGTCTTGGGTATGCACCCGTTTGCGGAATCAATGAGTAGGGACGTAAACTCCTCTGTGGATATCGCAGAGGTGTCGGCTCTGGATAGAACAGAGGCCTCTACGGCGGTCTGGAAATCGCCCCAGTCGGCCTTCCGAAGATTCCACCTGGGTGGACGGCTGCCTACTACTGGGGACTCCTGGTGCTCCAGCCACACGGGGAAATGGTCGCTCCCGAGTGGGTCGTCATGGACGAACCAGTTAAAAAGCTGAGCTAGCTGCGGGCTGGCTAAGCTCAGGTCCAGAGCCGATGTTTGACCGGAGGGTGTTGTAAAATGGGTGCGCTGTCCTGTATTTAAAATACAGAGCGCCTCATCGCGGATAAAAGATTCTAAAAGTCGACCACGAGTGCCAGTCGTGTCGCATCCCCACGCCAGGCTATGGGCATTAAAATCGCCGACTACCAGGACCGGAGGTGGAAGCTCATCGACAAGCCGATGCAGCTCAACCACCGGGAGCGCTATACCTGGTGGTAGGTATAAAGAGCACACTGTCAGTTCCCGGTGGTTGAAATCAACTCTGGCGGCCACCGCCTGCAGGGGAGTCTGCAGCGGCACCTGGCGAGCAGGTACGCTGTGGTGAACCGCCAGAAGCACACCTCCATGGGCAATGGTAGGGGTGTCCAGGTCTCTTCTAAAAACAGAGTAGCCCTTGATGGCAAAGGTAACGTTTGGCGCTAGCTTGGTCTCCTGGAGACCTAAAACAAGGGGTGTGCGCCAACGGATAAGAGACTGTAGGTCCTGGTAGTTGGCCCGGAGGCCTCTACAGTTCCACTGTAGAATAAAAGGCGTGGTTAAAAAGGCGCAAAAAGGGCGCGTATAACATGAGGCAAAGGCGCACACAGATACCTGACTGACCACAAAAAAGGTAAAAAGCACCGAGAGAAATGCACCTGGTAAAAAGGCGCAATAGCGCGAAAAAGATAAAAGGATAAAAGAGGAAATGACTAGACTGAAAGACTAGACTAGGTCCTCTAACTCCGAGGAGGCGCTCCCCCCGTAGCGGATACGGGGGTGCCCTGAGCCCTCTCGGTGAAGCCTCCCTTCAGCAGAGGCAGATCGGGCATGGCTCGGGCCCGGCTGGGGCCTTTTCGACCGGGGGGCGTCGCCCTCCGAAGGTGACCAGCTCGGGGGCGTCTGCCGCTTGGCGAGGCGCCCTGGAGCCGCGGAGGGCTGTTGCCGCCCCGACGGGGATGTCGAGGCGGCGGCCTGTGTCCTCGACACAGGCGTCTCTGGCAGCGGCGGTGGTGGCCGCCGCTGCGGAGGTGGAGGAGGCGGCGGGGGACCCATGATGGGCCGAGTCCCCGCCTCAGGTGTCTCCGGGGTGTCAGCGGCGACAGCCGCATTGGCACTCCCGGAGGCGGAGTCGGCAGACGAGGCTTCCTTAGCCTCGAGGGCCTTCTGGACGAGGCGAGCCCTCCTCGCCTCACGTGCCCTTCTCTCCTCCTCCCCCCGCCGCAGAGCCTCCTGCACCGCCGTGGGCGGTCGGGGGCGGG